ATTTACTTGTCGGTTAAAAATAAATTTAAACCCGTTGTTGAATAAAATACCAGCTCTTTATGAATTCTTCCTAGATTTTCAAGTGTCCAAGAGGTGCACAATGGTGCCTCTTTACCACTTACGCTGCTTCTCTTATGCTGTTTCTGGTGAAAGGACTCAAATGGAGAAAGCCGGATGCCAAGAGAAAATAAAATGTGCAGTGCAAATGGGACTCAAAAGTGAGGGGGTATCCTGTTGAGGTTGTAAAAATGGCAAATTGGGAGCAGGAAGAGAGGGGCAGCTAGCTAGCAGAGACGGGTTCCCAAAGGGGAAGCTCTGCAATGGCCGAGAGCTTCCGTTGCTTCCAATGAGAGCTTCGGACGAGAAAGTGCCGCCTTTCTGATTTCGCCTGAGGAGAAATGCTGTGGCTCTACAAATTTGAAGAGCTTCCGAGGAGAAGGCCGAGAGATTCCAACGACAAAATTGTGACCAAGATTTCCGATGACAAAGCGGTGACCAAGACAATTTTGAGAGTGAGGAGTTTTGGCTGCACGAAGAGAGTGAAGGGAGAGTGAGACAGACACCAACAATGAAATTGGGAATTTTGATTGTTTTCAGATTGAGTACCTCGCATTCAAGAAATGTGAGGTACTCAATCTCACATTCTCCAAATGTGAGCTTATATTATGCTCGCATTCTGTAAATGCGAGTTTTCGCATTTTCCAAATGCAATCTTGTTTTTCTTTTTTTCTGAAAATACTTATCTCGCATTTGTGAAATGCGAGGTATCTGAACTCGCATTTCACAAATGCGAAGATCACAAGTCTGGAATCAACTTCAAAAATTACCCCTTTGTAGAATAACTTTTTTTTTCATCACAATTTAAGAATTTTCTCTGCTATTGAGACAAAGGAAATGTATGAGCTCGGAAACAAAGAGAGGTTAATTAGAGAGCTCTGCACCCACCATCGGTTATTAGCATGGTTCACCATCTCGGACTCGGCCGAAACATAACCGAAACAATGGGGATGGTACGATACTGATTCCCAAATCGCAGATTTAATTATATCTGAGATGATTGGCAATAACTCGGTTGATATCAAATGAGTTGTAACGATTCTGATGTGTATCGTTGAGAAATTGGCACGTCGGATTGAGTTGCATCGGAAATGGAACCAAAAATTTTTTTGGCTGTAGAGGGACAAAAACTGCAGCTAACAGAGAGATGAAGAAATGAGAGAAGAGTAGTTCTATTGTGAGAGTTAATGTGGGTTCATCCGTTCATGTGAAAGAGAGAGAGAGAGTAAAAAAAGAATAAAAGGGAAGATACCACCAGCCTTTGTGGTGGTTGGCGGTGGTTATGGAGGAAACAAATACAACAACAGCAATGGTAGCAGTATGAGGAGTGACGTTGAGGAAGAAGAAAAGAAAAGAAAAAAAAAGTTATAAGTTGCTCCTTAATCTTTTTAAAATTATGAATCTGCCCCAAAAGTTCCTTCAACTATATTACAACGTAGATATATTTTTTATGATCACTTTTTCCTACTTTCAATTTCATCCTTATTAACTAGATTCATCTTAAGCTCTACATTTGGTACTTTATTTAATACTAATTTGTTAATGATAATTGGGTACAAAGTGCTTTTGCTACTATAATTATTACTTTTAATGCTACAAGGCTATGGCTACAGTAGCATCACTTTATCTCAATATTAGTTTGTATATATATATATATATATATATATATATATATATATATATATATATGATAAAATGGATATTCATCAAATCTAATTTGATAATTGTGCTTGTTATGTTATTTTCTATTTTTAGTAATTTTGTCAGATTTTTTGAAAACTTTTAAATGTTATAATGTGCGTATCATTCGATTTATGACTGAAATGCCGTGATAGATGTAAAACAACTGTGACCGCGATGCGACTGCAACCCCGATGTGACCGCAGCCCGCGATGGTGAAACATGGTTATAAGTCATCATCCTGCTCCAAAGACTGATTCCTCTCAGTAATCTTAAGTGATTCTTCAAGGCTTGCTTGTTTTCATTTTTTCTGCTTTAATATCTCTCTCTCTCTGTCTCTGAGACACAGAAGCACGCATTTGAAGGTTGTGTTCTCTGTTCTGTAGGTGCCTAGCATAGTTATTGTCTGAAATTTCCGAAGGCACTGATTGTGATTCAGATCTTTTGGCAAACAGAAGTTTCATTTGTAGCTGAGCTTGTGTTAAAGCTGTAATCTCCTGGAAGATGAATAGAATTTGAGTTGTTGCAGATTTGGATTCAGGAAGAGTAGATTGCAGAGACTTAGCCAGTTAATGCTTTTTCATCAGAGGTTTTTCCTTTTGGAATGAGATCATTAGTTACTGGATTAACGGATTTTTGCACTCCTGTTTGTAGAAATATGTTCATGTTATATTTTAGTTCATTGCTTGATGTATTGATGATGTATCTTGCTTTGATGCATCAATATATAAAGAAATTCTGCCATGAACGTTGAGAGTTGTCTGGTTGCTAACGATCCAGTAATCTTTGATAGGTTTCTGGTTACTTGGCCTTTCCATAAGCTGAAAGGGCTTCTTAAGTTAATGCTTGATCAAATTTCTGAGATCGCTCCAGTGCCTAGGGATTGTTGACTAGCGGTAAAAGATTTCAGAATACCTACCATCAACTGAAGGACCCCTTTTGTATTTGAGTAGATCTCGCTCAATACAAGGATATTGAAGGAACCCTTCGTATAGAAAAGTTTAATCGTCTTCAAATGACGTTGGAGGAAAATACAAGGATATTGAACACCAAATTTGCGCACAAGGATTTATCACTCTCTTATTCTTTGCTATTTGGTTTTGTTTTGAGCCTACAAAGAAAAGCAGATTCTTTGACTCCACTACTGTACATGGTCTCTGGCTTGAAGTAGTTAATGAAGGATAAAAAACGTGGCTACTATTCTGTTCTAATGCATGCAATTTAGCAGAAACTCCAAACAAGAGGTGCAGTATTATAAGTGCAGGCTTCTGTCTGCTTATAATTTTCCCTTCCATATCTAAATTGGTCCTTAATATCTGGCACACCTACTAATGCTCCAGCAGAACATTAGGATTCGATTCCTGGCGTCCACACCAGCTATTGCAGCCTTGGATGCATCCAATAAATCCCTTACTATTCCTATAAGACTCCATAGATGCTCCTCTGTGATGCACCCTGTGAGGGCATCTTGAACCGTCGCCAACCAGGCAGCTGGTGGCCATTGGACTAGAGCCCAAGAGAGAATCAACCTGTGATCTTGCAGTCCCGCTAATACTCCATGGCAGTTGAACTTTTCATTGGCAGCTCAAAGATGATCAGTATAGGACATAAGCAAAAATGTTGCAGACGAGACGTATGTTCTACATGCTTCTCTTTCATTCCAAACTGATTAAAAGAAACGCGTTGATAAATTGTAGGGAAACCATTTTAATCAGGGAAAAGTATTTTCACTTTTGTCGAAGTCTTCTTACTTAGCTGTTGAATTTAGTGCTTCATAATTTATATCATAGTCACCATTAAGTGTCATTTATAACAAGAAGGGGGGAATTTTCTTATTTTCCTCAGAGATCATTGGTTCAAAATTTCTTTTTTCGTTATCGCTTCTTGAATCTCACCCTTCCTTATTGGAAATTATTTTTTTTTTAAATGTCTAAATTTCCCATCTTAAATGTTACCCTCCCCTATTGAAAATAATTTTTTTTTAAATGTCTAAATTCCCCTTTTCCGCGTTGTTTCTTAGATCTCACCATTTCCTGTTAAAACTATTTTTTTTTAAATGCCTATTTGACACCTTAATACTATAGAAGCTTATTTTAAATTTTTATTTCAAGAAATGAAGTGGTTCTTTTAGGTACCAAAGTAAGGTACGGGTACTGACTTTCGGAGAATTCGATTGGTAGGAAACCAAAAAAAACTCTTCTTGTTTTACTATGGACTAGTAGTTCCATTTCTGATTTGCTAATAGGAATTATATATGGAGGTCTTTCAAAATAAAAAGTTCTACATAATCTAACAGGTAAAAACTCTTGTACATATTAAATTGTTTAGATGATCCTACCAGTCCCTTTGGAATCCATTTACAACATATTAGCGCTCTTAACCCTTCTCAAAGCTGCAAAGCAATCCTTGTTAAATGATAATTGTATTTGTATCATGTGATTTATCCCCACAGTATTGTTGAATTAGATGTAATATGATAAATAAACCTATGCTACAGGCAAAAAAGATATTATTCTTGTACATATTGTCAATAACATTCTAATCCTTCCAGCAAAATTTCTCAAATAAAACCCTAAATTGCAAGAATCCTCAAATTTCCAACTACTTAAAAGGACCATCAAAACCGAGAAAATCAAAACATGAAAATGAACAAAGACAAATGACCTGTGAAAAGTCGTCATAACCTGCTTAGATTTGAAATCATAAATATAATCCTAAAACTAATTGGTGAAAGATTACATCAACTTCTTGATATTATGAGTGGAGGATCAGAAAAATTAAATAGAAAGAATACTCAAATGAAGAGAAACTTGAAATTCTAAACAGAATTTTCTTTTCTCCAAAACTTTCGTAAACAACCTAGATCATCTTCATTCTACTTGTATCAACACCCAAGATCGTATCAATCAGATAAAAATGCTCTTGCAACCTTCTCAACCTTTGCACAGTGAAAATCGAAATTGGCCCTCGTATCTTTGGGTTAACAAATGCAAAGTAGGGTGCAAAATTCTATCTTAGCCCACTATAGTCAAATCTAATAACGTAATATCCCCACTGCTCATTCCTCCACTGTGCTCTTTTCCACCAGAAACCTGAAATATACAAAGTGATCTTGCAACACGTGCGCCACCACTTCTAACAAGAAATCCATTTTGAGTAAAAAAATTCTAAATTAATTTACATTTAGTGATGCTTTAATATTAAAAATTGAAGAATTAAATAAAATTTTCGAGCTCTTACATTGAGCTCAAATCCGTCGAATATTCGAATTGGGCTCGAGTTTGAACCCACAATTTCAATTCAAGCTTGAACTATGGAAGGTTCAATCACAATTCTCTTGACAAGAGAATGCGAAAGAAAATTCACATCTTGGGTAAGTGCACATTGAGGAAAGCAAAAAGGCTGTTTTGCAACTCTCGTGCCAAAATTTCAAGTGCTTAGTAGTCCCTCGATTTGATTAGTAGAAATGAGAAAAACAAATGTGTATGAAATAATTTCTCACAACTTAAGCGGTCAATCCATTCACTAAATTTATGGCTGTCTTTATGTTTTTTGCCAATTCAGCCGCTGCTCCAACATAAGTTTGGGGTGTTAAATTCAAGAGCATCATCTTTGCATCTCCTGGTATATCCAGGTTCTTAATAAATTCTCTCATGCTCTCTTGGGTCACCACTCTTCCTCTTGTTACCTCCTTCAATTTTTCGTAAGGCTCTGGGACACCATATCTTCGCATGACCTAAAGACCAAACCAAAAGGATTATCATGTGAGTCGATTCTACAAAAGCTATAAAGTTAACTGAAGATAGTGAAATGAAAAACATCCACAATCTAAAGAAACAGTAAACAGTCAGCCATTCAAAAGTGCAGTGAGTTCAAACGGTACCAAATTAATTGTGAATTAGTCACTTGCATGCTAGAAAAGTTCCCACTGCCACCTTAGACCATTTCTTGTTAGGGGAAAATATCTGGATCACTTCCAAACGATAAGGACTTGTCTCTAGTACTTAATCCAACCCTATACAGATTATCTGCTTGCCTCCACATCACTGTATCAACCTGTTCAACCACCTAGCTAGGCCTTTTCTCTCGAGATCAACCTACATTCACCCCTTGCCCATATAAACCTCCCCAATCTTCTTCCTTTATCGAATCTTACCGGTCATCACTTCTTCGGTATTCTAGCTCTATTCATCTTTACCCAAATGAACACCCAAACAATGACTTCCAAACCCAGCACTTCTCACGGAAAAATCAAACTAAAAACCAGATTAAACTTAGTGTTTACTCATCTGTGTTAGGCATATCTTGAACCAAGTAAAAGAAGAATTTAAAAAAATGAAAGACACTTCCACAAATCCTTGAGGTCTCTATATGTTAGTGGAGGGAATTCCCTGCTTTTCTACTACATGTCCGTGTTCTAGAGAGTGCATAATATTTTGGGCTCGTGTGTCATGAAAGTAAAATTGAACAACCGAGTGCAAGTTCATCATTGACAGCTTTTAGGAGTGCGCTTTTATTGTCTATGTAGAGAGTTCAGAAATCCTCTTACTAGATAAACTATTGGACTCATTCTGCTTACAGAAATTACTCAAATTTAGTAGAAAATCCTGTTGCTGTAGAAAGACAAGATCTTCCATCCTCAGAGAGATGGAAGGCAGCTGTCAATGTGTTTTTAGTGTGTTCCACGTAGTTCAGTCTTTTGTGTTTTTTTATTTAAAGAACTAAATTTTCCTTTTCCAAATCTGTCTTCCTTAAGTTGTCTTCTTCATTTTTTACCTTTTGCTTGCACTTTTCCTAGTTTGAAAATCTGCGAGTCAATCAATTATATGTAATAGCTCAAAGCATTTAAAAGAGTTCCTATAAATATTTTTCCTTTCAAGTAGACAATAACCATAGCCATGGAGACAGTACAGGAGTCCCCATTAGTTGACCTAAGGGGAAATGATCGAATTATATATTTCTTTTTCAAATTTGAAGGTGTTAACAGTTATATAGGACTCGCGAAAGATGTCTAAATGTAATAAGAAATTAAACTCGCACTAGAATCTTTCCCGTTAACTCTTTTGCCCATTTAACTTGGGATCTTTCCATCACAGACATTATAAGACTCTGTCAAGTTATATACCAACATCTTGCTAGGAGGAGAAATTATGGGACTAAGACTATACACAGTTTTTCTGCCCAGCATGTCTTATCAATATGCCAAGTTACTGAGTACCAACTCCTCAAAGATGCAACAAAAAGAGTAGACACCAAGTAAGTGAAAACACAGATTCAATATCAATTTTTTAGAAGATATCAAATGAAGATATTCACGCACAGTTTGTATTGGCTCTGCAAGCACCTCCCATGTGTGGTTCAAGTCTTCACTCAGGGAAGCTTCATTGATCTACAAGAAAACAAAACCAGCCAAATTAGAAGCAACAAAAATGATGCCCAATTGCCAGTTTTGCAAAGTTCTTAATATTTAAATAAAGATAAACTGCTTTGATTCTTTCATCTGAGAAAAGAAAAAATAGAAAAAGAAAATATATGCAAAAGAGTACATGGCTTCCTTCTAGAATGGATTCGTCAGGGGAAAAGACAAAGTGAATTTGCCACAAGAAGCTATTATTCTAGTATTGTCAGAAATGCATTTCTTGTACACATGAGATGCATTAGAGGCCACCAATTGCCAGCTGAGGTAACCGACAAAAATCAACAAACTACAACTTTTTAGAATAATAAAAATAAAAAACCTTTTAGCAGGATTTGATTGGGAAGGAAGAATGGAAGAAAACAGGGAATAGGGACACTGAGAATCAAAGCATCAGACCAAGATGACACATATCCATGGCCTATATCTGATTCTCAAACAACTTTTGCCTTCTGATAAGCCCTAGCTAAAATACTAAAGCAACCCAACATTTCTCAATAAACTATGTTCTACAATTGGCCTGCGAAAGCCACCATAAAGACTACTCTAACTGATGACCCTAAGAATCTTACTATGCTATTCTCTCTGAACTAGTAATCATGAAAAATCAATTACCGAGAAAACTGGTTGAGCAATTTCACAAAGTACAGAGCTTACTAACAGCTATTCCCTCTGAATAGATCCCAAGACATCATCTCTTCGATTAGTTATTCCCCCTTCATTTCCTAATCAGCCATACCACACCTATGAAGCAAGATGAGCATGAGACTACTAATTCCACACAAGCATCTTTCTTTATACAATACTCAACATTCAATACCCCTCTGGCACTCATATTTCTTGACCATCAATGAAAGAACTATTGTGGAATACCTGAAGCTTTCCAATGCCCATTAATGTATTCCTGTAGGCTAGAAGAGAATGTGCTAAACCTACACCCATGTTTCTCAGAACAGTAGAATCAGTCAAGTCCCTCTGCAAATGACAAGCACAGAAATCAATAAGTAACTTCAAACAGATAAAAGTGCAACTACAAAAATAAAGCACAAGCCAAAGTAATGACACATACATATCAAGCACAACCTTGGGATCTACCTAAAACAGTGTCTAATCAACTTTGTTTGAATTGAGTAACAACATCCCTAGCCAGGGTAGAAACTTCCGAGTACAATGATGAAATGGCTATTTGCATAGAGCTGAAGATGACACAATTGAGAAGGAAAAATAATTGCACATTTACCTGCCAGCGTGAAATAGGTAACTTCATGCTTAAATGGGACAAACCTCCATTAGCCACTCCAAGATTTCCTTCACTATTTTCAAAATCAATTGGGTTAACCTTGTGAGGCATTGTAGAAGATCCAATCTCACCAGCTTTGGTTATCTGCTCAAAAGCATGTACAAACACCAATCTTTCATCAAGAGACAACATGTAAACATGAAACACGTGTACATATATATATACATGAGAGAAGTGTTCATATAAGAACCTAGAAAAAAAATTTTGAAACAACAAAAAACAGCACAAACCTGCTTGAAGTAACCTAAAGAGATATATCCCCAGATGTCTCTATCAAAATCAACTAGAATGTTGTTGAACTGGATTATAGAATGAAAAAGTTTGGCCATGTAGTCATGAGGTTCAATCTACATTGCAGAATAATTAAATCAAAACCATGAAGTATCGAATAGTGTCATTATGTCAAAGACATAAACCATGATACTTATTTTCATGAAATTGCCATCAAATCAGAAGATCATTCATTGGGAACTAGTATTAAAACTTTCAATTAAGGCAAGACCAAGCAAATATTACTATAAGGATAGCATCACAATCTGAAAAACTCCAAATGGTAATTCTAATAGTCGAGTGGTGACTGAAAGCACTGGGTGGCCTAATGCATGACTCAAATACCTCTGAAGAATAAGCTTCTAAATCTGCCAAAACCAAACCTTTAGGATCAAACATGACAAGGATCCCATAATATATTTTAATAAACTAGTCAAGGACAATAAATAAGGGATAAGAAATGAGAAAATTTGAGCCAGAACATGATTAGTTTAGGAAAAGTACTTGAGGCACATAGGGATTGAAATCAATTCCAAGAGATGTCACAAATTCCTCTGCAACTTGCGGCCAATTGATATCAGGGTACGCCACAAGATGTGCATTATAGTTTCCAACAGCACCAGCAAACTTCCCAAGTATTTTAACTTTTGAAATATCTTGCCTTTCCCGACTTAACCTGAATGCAAAAATTGCCATTTCCTTTCCCAAGGTCGTAGGTGAAGCTGGCTGCAAAGAAATAGCAGATGTGAACAACTCATTCAAGTTTTAAGCTGTTTGAACAGTAAAGAATCAGAAATAGATCCAGCAGTAAGTGTCATAAAATATATTGGAGATTCACTGTGCCTTGAAAGGGTAGAATAATTCAGGTTGTATTCCCATGCCCAATCCCCGAACCCCCTCAGGCTCCAAGAAAAAAGAATTAAAATAATAAGAAAGAACAAGTGATTGTTACCTGCCCATGGGTGCGAGAAAGCATAGGAATGTGAGCATTTTCCATAGCCATGTCACTTATAGCTGAAATCACTTCATCCATAGCAGGTATCATCACCATAGAAAGAGCTTCTTTCAGCATAAGTGCATGAGCAAGATTGTTAATGTCTTCAGATGTACAGGCAAAGTGGAAAAACTCTACCACCTAGGCAAGCGACAAGAAAAATACTGAACATATGCAAAACATGCACAGATATTATTTTGGGTTCCATAATTCTTTGGAAACATCATGCAGGGAAATCAAAAGAACTGAGTGTCCTAACGAGGCTATCACGTCATGTCTACAGAATAGAGTAGAAGGATGATATTTCCATTCAGTTAACATCAAGGTTCCAAACAGATACCTTTCCTATCTCTGGGTGTGACTGGCACTTTTGCTTCAAAAAATATTCCACTGCCTTGACATCATGGTTAGTCACCTTCTCAATTTTCTTGACTTCCATGGCATCATCCAAGCTAAATCCATCAATCAAGCCTTGCAAATAAGCCTCAGTATCTTTAGAGAAGCTTGGAACCTCAGGAATTTCAGGAATTTGAGAAAGTTTTAACAACCATTTCACCTACAAAAAAAGGGGTTTCTGGCTATATGATTTTGTTTGAAATTCATGAAGGCAGAGGTAACAGTAAGGCAAAGAAGGAAATAAAGGACATGAAACACTCATGATCATCTATGAGATGTTAAAGCGTTAGAACTGCTCATCCAAATTCAAAGAATAAGCATGATCGAGTGAGCATGAGAATTAGAGTTGCAAAGTAATTTATTAGACTGGCACAGTAAACTTCGAAACTTGGAATTCATTAAGTTGCACAGTAAACTTGGAACCTCAGAATTTTGAGAAAGTTTTAACAACCATTTCACCTACCAAAAAAGGGGTTTCTGGCTATGATTTTGTTTGAAATTCATGAAGGCAGAGATGACAGTAAGGCAAAGAAAGAAATAAAGGACATGAAACACTCATGATCATCTATGAGATGTTAAAGTGTTAAAACTGCTCATCCAAATTCAAAGAATAAGCATGATCAAGTAGCATGAGAATTAGAGTTGCAAAGTAATTTATTAGACTGGCACAGTAAACTTGGAAAGTGTGTACATAGCTCACTTCACCATATTCACACATAATATATATGACTGAAGAGGAAAGGGTCCCCTCTAAGAGATCTCTGCTCGTGAACTGAAGCATCTACCCCACCATATAGATAAACCAACACACTGCCAATAGCCCTCGTACAGATCTCAAGTTAGGATGGCCAGAATATCATGTCATGCCACATTTGCAGATACAGGAAGTAAAACTCTGTGGATTGTTAGACGACAATTTATGTTTTGAACACCACTTGCATGCTGGCAGCACTTTCAAGCCTCACGACATGATAAAAACCACAAATTGATAATACTATCCATACCAGCAGTATCTAACATCATTCCACCAATATCGCAGTCTCCATCAGCATACAAGGTGTAATATAATATGACAAACTAATCTCGCATTTTCCTAGTTAAAATATTTCTGTTGCATGATCAATAACTGTGTAAGTTTCAAATTGAGATTTCTAGAGAAACTATGGTGCTTTCCTTCCTCATAACAGCATTTTGTGGTAGGAATCACTACTACTCTTGAAATTCCCAAAGTAAAGCTTCAGCAGTCCATTTCAGCATGACTAACAATACAACGATCAAATTTTAAAAATTCCATTTCCTTTCAATCTTACAGAATTATCGGACAGACTAAAATAAAACTTCCAGCAAAAGCCAAAAAATATTAAAAAAAGAAAAATATGTGATTTCTGTACTCTAAAGTTCAAAATCAAGATAGTACAGAAAGTAAAGCTCCAAAAATATTAAAGTAAGTCATGTCATGTGTCTGCTAGTCCACCCATTTTGCCGTTTTCCTCTTACATTATTTGAAGCCAACACAAATTAGATAAGTTACTTCCAACCAGAATCTGAACTAATCATGTGACCAACAATTTTCATGCTCTAAAAACTCAAATAGTACATTTCAGATGGTTTGCAGCAAGAATTATCTATAAGTCAGGGAAGCAATTTAGCAATATTACTAGTTAAAGAATTGCAGTATTAGAAACATACCTCAACTAAAACCCTAAAGCGAATTAAACCATATTCACTCATAAAAAGAGCTAGCTCCTTGACCTTAGCCCAATAACGTCCATCAAGAGGACACAGAGCCGTAAGGCTTGAGAGCTTTATATCATGTGAATACATCTTCCTTCCCTATAAAAAAAATTCACAAAAACCCAATAAAATTTCACTAACGAAACCCCATAAAACAAACACAAAAATTTATTTGAAACACTTCCAAGTTCCACCTGCCCTTTAAAAAAACGCAAAAGAACTGTAATTGCAACAAGGAAGAAGTTAAATAAGCATAAAATTATCAAAGTTTCATCAAATTAGAAAAGAAAAAAAGTAGCCATTACTTTTTCTACAACTTCAGTACTGCTCTCTTTTACAATGGCTTTGCAGTAGCAGCTTTTGAGAGTGTAAAATGAAGCATTTGAGAGGTGGGGAAGACGGTGATGGTAGGGAAAACGGAGGTTTAAGGTTCGATAATTGCAGATTGGATTGCGATACGGCGCCGCTTTGCAATTGATACGAGATGCCACCCTAAAACTAGCCTCCACTTCCATTGGGCTAGACTTCTTCCTTGAATGAAATGACTGAAGGGATGCTTGGTTGAAGCTTCAAAACCGTAATCGTAATTGGAATTATCCTAGGTGAGTTGCCGTTGCGTGAGGCTGCCCTGATCTTGATGCTATGCTGCAATATAATAGCATGAAGATGATAAGGTGATAATATAGTACTAGGAGGAGAACACCACGCAATGCGCAGTGTAATTTTCAGGCTTGCCCAGAAATGTCCAATTATTCAAATTGGGATATTAAATATAAAAAGTTACATAAAGGTGCACCAAAATCTTTGCGATATTTTTTATAATTTTATTAAGCAATGAAGAGAAGCCACAATTTCAGCCTATTTGCTAAATGACAGTGTCATTTTTGTTTTGCTGACTAATTGGACAGCAATGGCAATGTCATTAGTTTGAAAATAATATATCACAGCATAATGCTGCCTTACATTTTCTATGTACACCAAAAATGTGTTGCTCATGAACAAATTTAACAGGAATTTATGAACAACACTACAATTTGTTGGGCCAGAAGTCCATATAATTCTAAAATATAGGAATGGCTGCAGGATAGCAAGAGATATAGGACTCAAAACGATAAGGATTGGAGAATTGTATATGCTTTCTTGTCTATGATAAGCTAAACCAGCCATTATCTCATACTTAGAATCTTATCAACACAACATATGGCATTTAATTTTTGTACCAGCAACTCTTAGCAACACAAAAAATAAACATAAAATCTTACAAACTAAAAAAAGAAAGGGAACCCCAAAAAAAAAGCTAACTAAGATTAATTAAATAACAAAAAGTTAATTGAGATTAAGCATTAGAGACTCAAATTGTACATAATCTAAACACAACAATAGTAGTAAGGTCCACAAGTCCAATAGCATGGCAGTTCCCTTTTGTGATTATTTTCTATCCAACCAAATCAAACTAACTTTCACCAAATATGATAACTCAAGCCAATCTCCTTGGAACAAAATCAACAAAAATTTAATGAAAGAACCATACTCTAGCAAAAGAAAAAGGACAAGAAAGATTTATATAAATACATGAGCAAAAGGACATCAATTATACCCATTTTATTTTGTGACAAAACGGTGTCTTCAGAGTTCAAACTATTGTTTTATCAAATGGAATAAAAAAGTAAAGTTCACAACATTGACAAAATATACATCCAGTCTAACATTAAAACTTAGAAATGTAATTGAAGTTGGCAATATCAAACTACATCCCCTAATAAACAACCAAAAAGTTGTGAAATTTGCTTGATTGATGGCTTGATTGATGTTCTTTAAGGATCATCATCATCACAAAGATAAGCTTAAAGAATAGCTTCTTTACCAGTAGCACTGATAACTAACCAGGTTGGCATTACCAACCAAAATAAATTTCAACAAAAGGCAAACTACAAATTGCCTAAGAAAACTAATTAGTTTATTTTCCTTGCCAATATCGAGTTCATAAACAAAAGAAAAGCAAATCTTTGCAACCCATCAATAAGATTGACAAATAACCAAAATCTAAAAAACAAAAACAAGGCTAGCATCTCTAGACAAAGGGAATGAGCAAAACTACAAGTTGAACAGAAAATGTACAACGAATAATATGGCCGAGTTGAATTCTGCAAAGAGGAAATTGACTTTAGGTCCTGGCAGTGTATGATTCCCAAGGCCTGGCACAAGTGCTATATACTCATTCGCTGCCACTCTATATACCCATTCTTATATGTAACTACCACAATGTAAGGAGCTAGATTGTCATAAAACGAGTTCAGCCTGGCAAATATGACTTTCAAATTTAAGGTTGGCTGATAACAAAACTAAAATAATTATAGTAGTTATACTAAGGATTAATTGAACCACATAGTTGGCCAATAATTCCAGCTATATTCATTGTATATGGCAAATGAAAATACTGTAATACCATGGTCATAGTGCAATTAAGTATGAAGTTTATATTACATCAGTAATATTGTTTAACTATCATCCTGCCTACGTCATGAATGACCTAAACTTGCCGAAGTTAATCTAATAAAGTAGATAAGCTCAAGTTGTTTGAGCATTAATATATCTAAGTTTGCAATTATATTGATGGTTTATACGGGTTATATCTCAGGTGAAATAGAACATAGTGCATTCCATTTTGATGTAACTAGGGGAATTAACAAGCTAGGAGTGAAGGCTCCATAAAAAATTATGCCAGATGACCAAATGTTTTTCTCACGCTTCAACATTCAGGCAAGTCCTCCTTACTGCCACATTTGGCAAGAGAAAAAGATCCTAATAAAAGCTATATAGTTATCCACTACCACACTAATGTACTTCTTATTCCATTTAACAACCACAATCCGTCAGCAAATAGGTAATGCAAACTAAAACTCAACCAGTAACAAAAAGAATTGGGCAAAAATTTTCATCTAAAATAAAAATTAGGGCAACAAAACTTAGGAAAAATCGAAACAATTAGTCATCTAAATAATGAAACCAGGGTTGGTTGCACCCAAAATTCAAACAACCCCAAAAGAATTTACACAGAAATTTTCAGAAAAAAAAAAGGGAAATTAGGGCAAAAATATTTGGGGGAAAATTAGGGAGAAACAAGAGAGAGAAAGAACCTGCCTTTCCTACGGAGAATTGGTGAAAACACTTCCCGTCCAACACCGGAGAGTCACGGTAGATCCTGGATTTTGTGTAGAGGCCAGAAAGAGAGAGATAGAAGTGAAGGATAGAATTGAGAAAGTGGGAGAAGAAAATAAGGGGCAATAAATCCCAACGTGGTTTTGTCCTCTCCTTTTCGTTTTTACTTGTGGTACGTTGATAGTTGATATTGAATTTTTGCTGCTATTTTTGGGCTAATTACATGTGAAATATTTTTGTTCTACTCCGTCTACATTCCTGTGAAGATTGTCAATAGGAATTTTGCGCATTAGCCGTTTGAAGAAATTCCCGGAGGAAATATCAAAACAAAAGAGATGAAGGAATTCATATGTTCCTTTTGTTTGGTTACCGTGGGACCTGTGTGTGTTGCTAGTGTGAAAGTGGTTAAAGTCCAGCAGGTCCAACGATGGCCTGATTCTGACTTGAGGCATCAAATAATGAAGAAGAAGAATCAGAGATGCTGGATATCTGATCCGAGGAAGAAGTTGATATTTCTCAAAATCGCCTTCAAATTTTTCTTGTTTTGCTTATTTTCACGTGTAACCTCCAATAGTTCTAATTTTCATTCAAATTGAGACCTCTTAGGTTAGTTGTATGGTCTAATAAAACGCCAATCACCCCCACTAAACAGGGTTCTTTGGTAAGTTAAGCTCCTGATATGGAGGATGAATTGATCATCTAATAAATGGGAATAAAATTTCGTTTTTTTTTTTGCGGATTTTTTTTGGGGGGTGGAGGTGGCGGGGAGGGTTGCAATTAACCAAAAAAAAAAAAAAAATGAGAACCTAGATGGAGAAACAGTGGTGTTTGTAGTTGTGTAAGTTACCCAATTAAAAAAAATTTAAAAAGGACAAACCCAGTGTGGGTGGTTGCACATGATAGTTGGATATAGATACAAAAAGAGGCAGAATTTCAAATAGAATATAGAAAGAAAAAAATGATAAATTAAAAAATAATGAATTAATAGAAAATAAAATTATAAAATATACCAAATTGTGAGAAGGACATAAAGGTGCAAATAAAAAAAGAAGGTTTGGAATGACATATATGAAGAAAAATACCAAAAATAGTTATGGGAACAAGTAATAATGTTGAAAAAGAGTAAACAAATGTTTTAAAGAAGATAATGAGTAGAGTGTGATAACAATGGCTATTATTTGGAAAAATAATTTTATTAATGGAAATTATTAGCATGCTAGAGAATCAAATTATCAAAAGATCATCTACTTGTAGAAAAAATTGATTGTTTTGATATGGTTTCAATGACAAAAAAATTATTAGCTAAAAATATTAGTGGAAATCATAATTACTACTAATGTAAACCACAAGCACATTTAAACACACAAAGGGACAAAAAAAATCGTCAATACCTTTTAAGAGCTACACAATAAGGTAGGAAAAAAAATGAAAACAAGAAGTTAAAAAATTTGAAATAAACAATAGTTATGTGTATAACGGGTGGAAGAAAATTATAAGCATTGAAGTTGACTTCACCAATTGTAATATTAAGTTACAATGAAATTGTCAAAATACAAAAATTTTAAGGCATCAGACAGCTACCAAATAACAAAATTGAAGGGTTAATGCAGTACATTTGCCAACCTACTTTCAATTAATTACTTTTTATCACACATGGATGGGGAGAGGGATGGGTTGGGTGGTTTGGAGGAAGGAATGTGTGCACTTAGTCTTTTACCTAATTATTTGCCTTATTTATATGAAGATGTTTATCTCAATTCATATCTTTTGATGATTACAAAACAAATGGATGTTACTAATACCTTTTGTAGAGACCCTTTTCAGAAATGATACTAAACAAGTCTGTGGACTTAAAGCAAAAAGAAGATAAAAAAGGATGAAAAGTGCTGAGGAAGATGTCGGACGCACAAAAAGAGAGTATCGGACGTCTGACATCCTTAGAGTAACTTCGGACGTGTGAAGAACTTAGACTCGGACGTCCGAAGAAGACAAGCCAGGGCTTCTACGATTACTGATCACGATCGGACGCTCAACACCTGAGTATCGGACGTCCGACAAGCGTTGCTGCACTTCGGACGCAATACATTGGATGCATCGGCCGTTCGAAGGAATTGAAGAGGAACTTCCAAATGTGCATCTTACCCTCGGACACATGGTGATAGGGGATCGGACGTCCTAAGAGATTCAAGAAAACTTCCAGAACTCATTGATCTCGTTCGGAGCATAAAAACTGAATATCGGACGTCCGACAGCACCAACGGTTAGTTGACTTTTCAGTTGGCTTCTATCCGTTGACAGCATTAATTAAGAAATTTCTTGGTCTCCTATAAAAGGAAAATGGTCAACCATCTCAGAGTAACTTTGTACATCAAGTCTACATCAAATCGTGAGTGATTCTAGTGTTAGAATACTCAAAAGGAACTCTTGTATTCTCAGCCTGTGCAATTTTATTGTAGCTTTTCAGGTGTGATATAGCTTCTTCAATAGTGTAGCATTGAGAGGATTATCTAAGTGTTTGTAAAACTTTCTTGCTTGACCAAGTGTGGTTTGGGGCAAGAAGGAAGTGATCCTTCCATTGTACACAAGATATTAGTTGCAAGTCTGTTCAACCTGAAGTAGCTTGTTATATAAAGTGTATTTCAAACTCAAGTGGAGTTTGAAACTTGGTTTGTCTCTCTACTTCTGTTTACAGCTCTACTCTATAAACTGTTCATCTCTTCATCTCACGAACAACTGAGCTATCTTGTAATCTGATCCATTGAGTGGTCTTCGAGAAAAGAAGGACAGGCCAGAAAAAAAGTGACATATATCTTATCTGGTTTTAGAAAACCTAATTCACCCCCCTCTTAGATTGTTTTCGATCCTAACAATTGGTATCAGAGTTTGGTCTCCTAGAGATTAAGCTCAATCGGCTTGGGAGTAAAAATGACAACCAACAATGTCATGTTCCTTGAGGGACAATCTATCACTAGACCTCCAATGTTCAATGGGTCAAACTATGTGAGTTGGAAGGAAATGATGATTATATTCTTACAATCCATTGATATTGAATTGTGATTTATTGTTAGTAAAGGTCCCTATGACGCGACTGTTGTTGATGAAATTACCCATAGGCCGAGACAAAAAACCAGAAGTGAATTGACTGTTGAAGATAGAACTCATCTCACTCTAAATGCTAAGGCTATGAATGTTCTATACAGTGCATTAGACTCAAATGAGTCCATTAGAGTCAAAGGCTGTAGATCTGCAAAAGAAATTTGGGATAAGCTTAGAGAGATCCATGAGGGAAGCGAAAATGTGAGAGAGCAAAAGAAATCCATTCTGGTTACCAAGTATGAATCTTTCAAGATGGAGTCTCATGAAAATATTGACAAAATGTATTGCAGATTTAATGATCTGATCAAAGATTTAGAGGTGCTTGAGAAGGAGTATTCTCTAGGTGAAAAGAACAGAAAAATTCTGAATGCTCTATCAAAGGATTGGGAGAGCAAAGTGACCGCCATCGAGGAAGCCAAGGATCTGAATACTTTATCCATTGAATCTCTGATTAACTCTCTAACCTATTATGAACTAAAACTTAAATCTAAGATGCAGGATAAAGAAGACACCAAGGCAAGAAAGAGTATTGCTCTGAAAGCATCACAAGACAAAGATGAAACAACTTCACAGGATGGAAATGATTTGGAAGGTGATGACAGTGATATTGCACTCATTACACGAGGTTTCAAAAGAATACTTAACAAGAGAAGATTCAGGAAAGGTGGATCCAGCAATTCCTTCCCAAATCAGTCTAATGACTTCAGAAACAAAGAAAAACTGGAGTTCAACAAGAAGCAGACTGATAAGTGTTTCGAATGTGGTCAACCAGAACCCTATGCAAATGAGTGTCCGATGAAGAAAAAGAAGGAGAACAAGGTTGAACGAAAACCAAAGTTCAACAATTTTCAGATCACCTGGAATGATTGCAACTCAAAAGGTGAAGTTGAGGAAGAAGAGGAATCTGCTCAAGTGGCTTTCATGGCCATTGGTGATGATGAGGTAACTGTTTGTACTTCCCAAACTGATAGTGACAATGAATCTGATGATGATGTAAAATCATTTGTGGAAAAAATGCACAACAATTTGAAAGAATCTTATATTAAAAACAAAAAATTAAAACAGAAAATTAATTTTCTGATTCAAGACAATGCAAATCTTTTTCGACAAAACAAGTGTATTAAGCATGAAAATGAAAACCTGAAAAGAACTGAAACTGATGTGCTTGCTGAACTCAACAAAAAGAAAAATTTCTGTGACACACCCAGAAGTGAACAATGTTGTCTAAGAAAAAGGATGGATGACTTATGCAAATTGTTACATCATATGAAACAGAACTGTCTTAAAAAAAAAGACATTAAACCTTATCTTAACACTCATCAAATAAGACTGAATCAAAACGCAAATGAGTTTGCTATCCATAGGAGAAGGCAAGTCAGATTCATTAAACCAGTTCGTTTGATTGATCCAATGTCAGTATGTAATTTCTATTGCCAATTTGGTCACATAAATAGCAACTGCTATGTTAAGAAAAACATGAAAAATGGTATGAGATGTATGTGGATGGTTAGACATAATGCTAACTCTCAAGGACCCAACATGTAAAGGGTACCAAGTATTATCTTGTGATTTTGTGTATAGGTGAACCTGGATACTACTGCTAAAGAATCAAAATGGTTTATTGATAGTGGATGTTCAAGACATATGACGGGTGATGCATCTCAATTCATTAAACTCAAGCAAAAAACAAGTGGAAAGGTAACGTTTGGAGATGATAACCAAGCCAAAACTGTTGGTATTGGTGATGTTGGTAAGAATGATCAAACCTTTATCCACGATGTTCTTCTTGTTGACAATTTGAACTACAATTTATTAAGTGTTAGCCAACTGTGTGATAGGAATCTGCTGGTACTGTTCAAGAAACTTGAATGTCTCATTTTTGACTCAAAGTTCAACATTATTTTCAAAGGAAAAAGAGTTAATGATATTTATGTAGTTGTCCTTGAAAAAATTGATTCCTCCTATCTCAAATGTCTCAAAGTTGCAAATGAGGACCCATGGCTGTGGCATAGAAGGTTTTGTCACTTCAATATGGATTTGCTAAAAGAAATTTCTAAAAACGATCTTGTTAGAGGTCTCCCAAAAATCAGATTTGAAAATGACCGGATATGTGATGCTTGCCAATTTGGAAAACAAGTTAAGGTATCTTTTAAATCCAAGAAGTGTGTTTCTACTTCAAAGCCACTAGAACTTTTACACCTTGATCTGTTTGGTCTTACACAAACTACAAGTCTTGGTGGTAAGAGATTCTGTTTTGTTGTTGTTGATGATTATTCCAGATATACATGGGTAATGTTTCTTGCACATAAAGATGATGCTTTCAAGAACTTTGTATCACTGTTTGCTAAAGTTCAGAACTTGATTGGCTTGAAAATTATCAAAATTAGAAGTGATAATGGTACTGAATTTCATTTTTGTGGCTTTCCAGATTTTTGTGATAACAATGGCATCACACATGAATTCTC